AGGAAGGGAACTCTCTTTCCCTTGACATTCCTGGGGGGCAGGGGACGAGCCTCGCTGGGCAATGGGGCTTCCAGACCTGTAAGTTAAATGACCTTCTTACCTCCCTTCTTTTTTTCAGGTACCTTGTAATATACATGACCGTCCAGAAGGGGGCAGCCTCCCCTGACGGGGCCCCCGTGTCTGGATTTCTCTCCAGCACATGTTCTCAGAAAACATAACTAAAACTGGTCATTTTTTCCTCATGGAAATTAGACAGGGCTGCTGGCGGCAGCACATTGTCTCAGTCTGATACCATGTGCCCATGATTTGCAGAAACTATTTTTAAAATAACCCAAATACATGTTGCCACATAGAAAACCACAGAAATTAGCATTGTACCCCACCCCCACCTCCACACCCCAAAACCGCTTTACTCATTCACAAGTTTGGAAGAAGTTACAGGAGAGAAGGTGGAGTTGCAAACAGCCTATGATGTTAGTTAGCAAAGGGGGCGCTGTTAGGGGCTGAATGTGTGCCCCGCCCCCATCACTGCCCAAATTTGCATGTTGAAGCCCTAACCCCCAAAGTGATGGTATTTGCAGGTGGGGCCGGGAGGGCCTGATAAAGGTTAAGTGAGGTCACAGTGATGGGGCGCTAACTGGGTAGGGCTGGGCCCTTTGGAGGTGAAGGAAAGACACCAAGGTTCCTCTCTCCCTGCCACCCAAGGAGAGGGTGGCCGTCTGCAAGCCAGAAAGGGGGTCTCACCAGGAACCAAACCCTGCCAGAGCTTGATCTTGGACCTCCAGCCTCCAGAACTGTGAGGAATGCATTTCTGCTGTTCGAGCCACCAGTCTGGGGCATTTTGCTAAGACCGCCCACGCCGACTGAGACAGGCAGGCACCTGCGCAGGGAAGTGCTTCTCTTTTTTCTATTATTGTTGTTCGCATCATGGCGAACTAGTTTTTTTGTTTGTTTAAAAAATACCTGCGAGCCCTCACATCCTGCTGAAGTGTGAAATTCCTCTTCTCTGGCTGGGGCCTTGGCATTCCCTTCCTCGCTTCTCTGTTGAATTTGTCATCTCAGGCCTGCACAGGGGGCGCACTAAATGCCAGGAGCAGGCCACAGCTGTCACAGCGCAGAGGGGAAAATGACAGGCACGCTGTTTCTGGGTGTTCGCGAGAACTGGGGTGTGCTGTCTGTCCCTCTGTGGAGGGGTATGTGAACCAGCCTGTGAGCTGCCAAGTGAACTTGGTTCTGTAGTCTGTGGAGGGGTTGGGGGGGCGGGGGTGGGAGGGGAATAGTGAATCTGGGTGTCTGTGTGTCACAGGGCTCTGAGGGAACAGAGGGCTGCGTGGGCTGCACTTCCCTGCAGGGTCACACGGAGCCTGGAACAGGCTGTGCTGAGAGCTCCTGATCCAGGGTCCCCGCCCTGCCCCGATGCCCCCGCACTGGCTGTTGGTCTTGGGGGCCAGAGCCAAGGCGGGGCTCCGCCGCTCAGCCCGCACCCCCAGCAGAGGGCTGTGGTTGGGATCAACATTCCCAGGGACTGGTCAGGGTTACAGTCACCAACACCAAGACGCAAGGCTTGACAATGGGCTGTCCCCCCAATCCTGGGACGCGGCTGTGTGCCCCATGTGCTGGGGCCAGCCCTGCTCTCAGACGACTCAGTCCTGCAGGGTCTGGGAAGATCTTGAGCTTTGGTTCAAAGCCAGGGGTTGATGCTTACTGGCTGTGTGACCTCAGATAACTTACTCACCCTCACTGTGCCCCTGCTTTCTGACATACTGAATGTGGCGAACACAGCTCATCCGACAGAGTTTTTATAGGGACTAAACTCCTTAGCCTTAAGTCGCCTGGTATGTGCCTGACAGGTGGTAATTCTTCATCAGTGGCTGCCATAATTCTAAGGCAGGGGCTGGGATACTTTTCTATAAAAGGCCAGAGAGTAAATATCTCAGGCTTTGCAGCTGGTCGTCTCTGGCAGCTCCTCAGCTCTGCTCTTTCAGTCGAAAGCAGCCATGGAAATGGGCATGGTTTTCCAAGTGAAGTTCTATTTTAAACACAGGTGGGCCCCAGTTCAAAGGTGGCACCTGTTCCCAAAGCTGGGTGGTTCGGGGGGCGAGAGGAGGGCAGAGATGCCGGGGAGGTGGGGGGAGGCTCGAAGCACTGCCAGTCAGCCTGGCGAGCGGGCGCAGGAGGCTGGGCCGAGAAGCCCGGGCGAACCTGAGGGACCCCGTTAGGTGAGCCCAGCGGCTGCCCATGGTGGCGGGGGCGGGGGGGGGGTGATCGCAAAGCCTGGAGTCAGGGGGTAACCACAGAGGAAAGGATCGTGAAGTGCAGAGGGACAAGACTCGCCCAGTTAAGTATTTGCGGAGTACCTGTCTCCATCAGTCATCGGTAACGACACTGTCTAGGTGAGACAGAGGGAAGGGACGGCCGCAGGATGAGATCGCTGGAGGAGAGGCCGGGAGCCCACACCGACTGGGGGCTGACCTCCTGCCGAAGAAGAGGCGCCTACGCACCCCAACTGCCATAGTCACCGAGGGTGCTCCGCCACCCCTGCCCAACAGCATTTACTAAGCATCTGTCACATGCGTGGCACTGCTGGACGCTGCAGGAACAAGTTACAGGATCAAGCCCTCGCCTCTGGGGACAACATCCCAGGGGAGGACACAGACCCGAGTCCTGCAGATGGCTGTGGACACCGAGAAGGCCTGTGACAAATAAATAAGATGGGGCAGTGGGGGAGAGCGGCGGGGGTGGCCTTGCTCTGGCTGGGGAGTCAGAGGCCTTTCTATGGCGCCAGCCTCTGAGCCAAGACCGAAAGGGTGGTAACCTCTGTGTTCCCCAGCGAGCCAGCGGCGGGGAGGCTTATTTCCTGCTGCTTTGCTGGAGTGCAGCCCCAAGTGGTGGCAAGGTACAAGGCCAGGGAGCCCTGAAACAAGGACAGCGATCTAAGAGGGGTGGCACCAAGTGCAGCTGGCTGCTCGATCTCCTGGGACCGTCCCCTGGGAAGCCAGCAGGGACGCATCCACCTGGGGGCTGGGAGGTGAAGGAGGGAAGGCCTATCAACCAGCTCCTGCCCGCCATTGGTGCCCGGTTTGCAACAGGCGCTTTAATAAAATCCCCAGACTTCAGGGTCACACAGGCATGAGCCTGGCTGGGTCCCAGGGTGAGCCTGGTGGGAGCCCACCCAGCTGGTTGCGGGGGCACCGACAGGCAAGATACTGACGGGAGAAGCGAAGTTCCCATGGTTACCGCGTGATAACCTGGGGAGCACGCCCCAGGCGGGAGGAACAGAAGGCGCACAGGCCTTGTGGCTTTTCTGTAACTTTTTAAAATGACAAGGATGCACCCACCCCCAGAATTCCGTGCGTGCAGCCCCCAGCCTTGCAGAGCAGGGCGGGGCCTGCTGGGAAGTGTCCAGGGGACATCCTTCAGGTGTTGCGGGCGTGCCTGCTTTCAACTGTCTCCTGGAGAGCCCGGCCAGACGCCGGTCGTGAGGGCGGTGGACCCTCTCCGGGCGGCTGCATGGTGCCAAGCCCATGCTCGGTGCCTGGGACCCGGGCAAAGAGAACACAAGCACCGGCCCTCCCCACGCTTCCCAGGTCGGGCAGGAGGCAGAATTGTTTTGAAATCCAGGCAATTTCTGGATTTAATCCCTGCTTCCTACTTTGATTACCCAGGCGAAGGTGCTTGATTGTTCTAAGCCCCAGCTTCCCCACCTCTAAAACGGAGAAAACACAGCCTTGCTCATTGAGTTGATGTGGGGATAAAAGGGGACTACGGGCCCTGGCCAGGTGGCTCAACGGGCTGGAGTGTCGCCCCCTCCACCAAAGGGTTGCGGGTTCAATCTTGGGTCGGGGCACACACCGAGGTTGCAGGTTCAATCCCAGGTCTGGGCATGTACAGGAGGCAACCCATCGATGTTTCTCCCACATCAGTGTTTCTCTCCCTCCCTTTCTCTCTACAGTCAGTAAATATATCCTTGAATGTGCATTACATAAAAAGGGGGGCTACAGATGTGAGCTCCCCGAAAGGCCGCAGGGGCTCCCCCAGCCGGGGGTGGGGGTGGGAGAGGAAGCGCCTCTTTGTGGCTGTTCAATGTCCCTGAACGACTACGTAAAGGTTTTGAGGAGAGGCAGAAAAGGCTAGCTTTGAAGTGTGCTTTAAATCTTTTGCAAATTAAAACGTGATCCAATCTGATCCCCTTCCCTGGAGTGGGGGGGAGGTCATGACAGCCCCAACTTGGTCCTCCAGCTTCCAAGGAGGCCCCCCCCCCCCGACCCCCGAGCCATGTCTCTGGGGCTGGGGTGTAAGGACCACACTGCAGCCAGCACTGTGGTCTCCAGGGCCTTTATTCAGGAAGGTACAGCGCGTCTGCAGGCTGACAGGCACCGTGCAGGGTTTGTTAACAGTTCAGTTGTCTCCAAGGTGTCGCGGGGAGAGAAGAGCAGAGGGCAGGAGGACCCTCTGGGGATCCTCTCCCACCAAAACAAAGGCACTGGCTCAGGGTGAACGCTCTGCTTCTTCCCAAGGGCCCTGGGTTATGTACACGCAAGGGTTCACCGGATGGATGCGGAGAAACTCAAAGCTAAATACAGCCGAGGAAAGAGTCCATCTGGGGGTAGGGGGTGGGGGGCACCAGGGCTGCCTCCAGGCTCCTTCCACTGGACAGGACAGGAAGTTCCGAAAGAGGGCAGAACTTCAGAGGAGAAACAGGATCCAGCCTCTCAGTCTTAGTGTTTTGTGCAATTTAAAAAACCAACAAAATAAATATAACTTAAAAACTTCTTACACGACACTAAAGGCAAGTCTGGGACGAGCAGTTGAGCAAACTTCCTTGAAGGCTAAGCAGTACTGAACACCAGGATTGCACAGGGGCGGGGGGCGCAAGGACAGGGCAGGAAGGACGCCCACCCTGCTGGCACCGGCATGGCCGGGCCCCTGGAAGTCCCTGCCTGGACTGGGGCTGGGCGGGGGGGGGGGGGGGGGGGCCTTTCAGACAGCTTTCGGGGGCCGGGGGGGGGGTTAGAAAATTCCATTCCAGGATCCATACGAGGCGGCGGGAGGTCAAAGGGGAAAAGGGATTGAGAGAGTCGGCGTGGAGGAAGGGAACTAGCACAGTAAATACAAAACCCAAAACCTTAATAGAATAACCCTACAAAGATGCCACTTTATGTCACTTTCACATACAAAGGTAACCCAAGGCAAAGAATTGCCAATAAGAGGCCCCACGGGTCTCCTTCAATAAACAAATTGTTTGCTTATTAGCACATTGTTTGCAAACAACTGGTGCTTGCTTAAAGTGCTTGTTTGTTCTCTTAAGTAGCTGAAGCTGGTCCCATGTAACTTTTGTTCATAGCATTAATTTGCTTTAGCAAACTTTTTTCATAGAGAGGAGGAAGGTAACTTTTGGCCAGTGCATAGTTGTGGGACCTTGACATCTAAATGAATGGTGTCCCTTCCCACAGGGAGCCGCACACAGGCCACCGCGGTGGGGTCCCTCTGGCCCACAAGTGCATACAGCTCCCGGGCTCCTGCCCTCCAGGATCACATGCTGTCACGCGGCCTCCCGTGCTCCTCGGGGGCGGGGGTGTGACCTTTAGCAAGTCAGCCCACACAGGAGTTCGCCACTGTTTTGAACAAGAGCCAGGAAGTTGAAACGTGATTTCCTTTTAAAAATCTGAACTTGCGCATCCTCGTGTCCCACCCTCCGCCCCCATCAACCGTCACTCACCCGGCATGAAAGGGGAAACAAATGTGTCACATGGGTGAGTTGACAGTTCCCCCAGACCCTGGGGTGATGGGGGAGTGGGGTGGCCCAGGAAGACCTCCCTCTGGATTGGTCCCTCTAGGCATACACACCGGGGCACACACTGTCTGCACAGTGTCCCTGAAGCAGCTCCCTATGGAGCAACTGGCCCCAGTGCCTGCCGGCCTGGTCCCCAACTCTCTTCCAACCACAAAGCGGGGACACCGGGGGGGGCACCGCTCCAAATGGCCATAGCTGGGATTGTCTTTAAAAGTCATGCAAATTTTGCATTCTTCTCAATAATATAAACCTACTTGCTTTACAAGGAGACTAAGTCTCACAAATGGTTTCCCATGAATCTTCGAGCAACCTAGAGGCTGCAGAAGGGAGGCCTGGGCAACCCCGGCGGCCCCCATGTTCCCTGGAGGCTGCCCACACCGCATCGGGAAACACGGGCTTGAGCCCTTCAGGCCGTAAGGCTTATTTCGGGGGAAACCCTGATGCCGGGAAGCCAGCCTCCACCTCCTTCCTCGCTGCGCAGCGCTGGCCTGGAGCCCTGCCTGCAACCGAGCGTCACCAGGGAGGCGGGAGAGGTGCGGCTGCGTGAGAGGAGTGTCCCGCGTAGGTTCTGTCTTTCTTACGTTGGGGGCTGCCTGTGCCCTGGCCCACCCCCATGCAACCCCTGGCCTTGTCACAGCAAGGTCAAGATGGGGCGTGGGGGGCTCACGTGGCTCTGGGGGTGGCTGCAGCCCTGGCAGCTCGGGCCTGCAGAGTCCCCCTGGATTCGGGGGCAATAGTCACAGATCAAAGAACACAGCTCCTGTCCCCCACTAGGGAGGCCAACACCAGAGATCACAGCCAAGTCGGCTCTGGCCTCCTCCCGGCTCTGGGGTCTGGTCCGAAGCTGGAGGGTTTCAATACCAGACCCTAAAGAGTCCACAAAGGCCGCCACACATCCCTGGACCCCTTGGGCTGCTAATCAGAGGGTGCTTTACTCATGGCCAACATGCATCTGCCAGTGATTTTGTGCCCCAACCATGAGAAAGCCTGGCACCAGGCACCTGCTGGAACATGGGCTCTGAACACAGTCCCTGGCCAGGCTGAGGATGGATGGGGCTGAAAACCGCTGAGCGGGGCGGCAGCGCTAACAGCACTGGCCAGCAGGGGGCAGCAGGCCCCCACAGGGAGCCCACCCAGGGGCTCTGGGCTGGACCCCAGGGCCACCTGCGTCCCCATCCAGGTCTGAACACAGCCAACATGCCCCCAGCCCCCGCCCCGGTAGGCAGCCGTGCTTGGCTTGGGCATTCCTCTTCTAGAAGGAGATCCTATTTACAGAGAGACGTGGAAGCCCCAGCGCTAAAGCCCTTCAATCAGGAAAACGAGAAAATCTCGCCTCCTCTTCTACAAAGTGTCTTGTAGTGCAGTTTGGGAGGGTCAGTTCTGGGGCTTGCACCCAGGAAGAAGTCAAAGAAGAATTAAGAAGGAGAAGGAAGAAAAGGGGGAGGGAGGAGGCCAGGGACGGGGCGAGGTGGGCACAGGGGCCGCAGTCTAGGGGGCGCCGGGGCCTTGGCACATTTCTGACAGGATGTCGATGAGGTTGTTGAGGCCCGAGAGGTAGCCGTCCTCCCGGTTGCCTTCCTGCCAGGGGACGTCGTGCTGCAGGGTCTGGCCCTCAGGCAGGGGGGTGGTCTTCCCGAAGTCGATCATCCACACCTTGGCCTGTTCCTTCTTGTCGTGGATGAAGAGGAGCGAGCTGCCGATGACCTGCGGGGAGGTGGGGAAATGAGGAGGGGGTCGCCCGGGCCCCTGCCCCCACCCGCCACATGGCAGCCGGGCTCCTGAGGGCACCCTCACAACTCAGGGGGCGTGCCCCAAGGGCGGGCCCTGCCACGCAGCGTGCAGCCCTCTGCCCAGGGGGGCAGCAGCTGGACACGTACCTCGTGGCCCTTGAAGAAGGGAGAAACTTCGAGGGTGGCCCGAATGTCCTTCAGCCGGTCCCGGTAGGCGATCTGGGAAGAGAAAGAGGACGACTTTTATTTAAACACCTGGGCCTGGGGGGGGTGCGGATTTTAAGTGCCATTTGGTCCATTAGAGTCACTAAGTGTCAAGAGGAGGGAGCTTATGCCCTGACAGTGCACTCCAACTTCTTCATCTTAGAAGTGAGGCCACTGAGGCGCAGGGAAGGCAGGGTGGCCGGGCTCCTGGGCCCATGCCCTGCCCAGTCCGCGTTGCTCCGTGAGCAGGGCGCCGGGGCGGGGGCAGCTCCAGAGCATCGTGCAGCCTCCAGGAGCTCCTCCCCAAGGGTTAAGTTTATTCCGGAAGGCAGTGGAGAGGCAGGCGGCATCCTGGGAGCCCCGTTGCCATGGTACCTTCCCGAATACAAACCTCAGTGCCCTGAGATCTCTGCCAGGGGTCTCTCTGCGGAGCCCTCCAAACCCGGGTTAACCGTGCTGGCTCTGGGGGTGCCCGCCTCCCCTGGGGACTGCTGGGGAAGCCCAGCGCACAGGGCACACACGGTTCCTCCGTGCCCATCTGTAGCAGGGCCAGCCCGGAGCCCAGCACCAAGAATAAACCCCTCTCATGGGGCACCGGAAGCACGCGTTCTGAGCAGGCTTTGATGAGCAGCTGGCAACCCGGCGCCCACAGGCGCAGGCTGCGGAAGAGTCAGGGGGCGTGCCCCACGACTGAAGCCTCGCGCTTGCCAGGGCCCAAGGGAAGCTCCCCAGTGGAAAAGGAAGGGAGGGAGAGGCCCTAGCCCCAGCCAGCGCCGGGTCTCCTTGGAGGAAGCATGTCTGGTCCGCCGCTCCCTGCTCGGCAGCCCCGGGAGCCCGTCCGGGAGAAGGTGCCAGTCTGGGTGCACAAGTGCGTGGTGTGCCCAGGCGCTCTCCGCCCATGGGGTGCAGAGGCACGACACACCCTACATCCGCTGGGGGGTACGGGTCCTGATCCCAGAGGTCAGAGCATCTGTTCAGCCTGTCTGCTGCCGCAGCAGTAAAGCGAGTCCCTTTGTCGTAAACTTCTGCCACTCACGTCTCTAGGCTCAGAGACAGCTGGCAGGTTCTTCCCAGGGACGGTGCTATGACCGCACCCTCCTCCCCCGCCCGCCCCGACCCCAGCCAGGCACGCTCCCCTCACTCAGCCTCACGGCCTGGTAGAGGCCCGGCCAGGCCTGGGAGGATCGGGGCGCAGGGACCAGCAGGCCCCCGGCCCGTGTGGGTGAATCCCGGCTCCGCCCTGTCCTAGCTGTGTCCTTGACCTCGCACAGTTTCCTCATCTGTGGAATGGGGACAAGAGCGTCCACCCCCCGCCACCAGAGGCTGCTGTGAGGACGGGCTGAGCACGTGCACAGTACGTGGCAGGCGGGGGGTGTTAAGGAAACCCAGCGACGGAAAGGGCTGCTCTAAGGACGGAAACTGCTTTCAGGAGCCGGGAAGTTGACGGTGAGGGAAAGAGTGAGCGAGCGTTCGCCGTGCTTCCCTGTTGGCCTGCAGAACGGGCTGACAACCGTATCACCTTCCTCTGCACCTTCCAAGCAGAAGTGGGGGGCCAGGGCTTTGTGTGGGCGCTGTGGTCATGGCTGCTGTGGCCTGGCTCTCCAGAGTGGGCACAAGCGGCCGCCCAAGACCCCGTGGTCGGCTCCCCGTCGGGGGCCCTGACTCACCAGGATGTTCTGGTTTCCTTTAGTGAATTCCCTGAAGGCCTCGATGACCTGCTCCCGCGTTTTGGTTTTCTTGAAGTCCCGGTTCACAGAGCCGTCTTCCTTCTGAGAAGGCGAATCCAGGAGGGGTCAGCAGAGGACCAGTGGCAGGCGCTCTGCTCCTCGCCCCGACTCCCAGGGGTCTGAGACAGCCACCTGGAGCCCGGGCCTGACCTGGGTGCTCCATGCCCGCACGACCAGGCTCAGGGTGGCTCATCGGGCAGCACAGCGGAGGGCAGCCTGTCCTGGGCCCCGGGAGAGTGGCCCCAGCGCCCCAGGCAGAGGGAAGGTGTAGGAAAGGCTTGGAGGTCAGAGGGCCACTTGGGCCAACAGTACAGGGGTGAGGCTGGGGAAGGGAGCACCTGCCCTGCGTGTGAGCAGCGGGGGCTGAAGGGGGTGGACACGCGACGGCTCCCCTGCGGGGCCTGGCCCTGGAACCGAGAGTCGGGAGGCCCCTGCCACCCAGGGCACCCTCACACACCAGGGGAGAGCAGCACTCCTAACCCCAAGTTCAGCTCCAGTCCCCTTACAGCTTGAGACCTTTTATTGCAGGGTCCCTGAAAGCCACGGAATGACGCTGCCCGCCCGCCGCCCGCCCGCCTCTGCCGCCTGGTCCTGCCCAGGGCGCGAGACGGCGTGGTTTTTTTCAGCCCACGCTGTTCCAGGCTGTTCCGGGGCGGCACAGGGAACTCCCTCTCCTCTAAGAGGAAACCAGTTCTTTGGGACAAAGGGTGACAGAGAATGGCTGCTCTGGGGGCCCCACACCAGGGCCTGTGCTAGACCAGCGTGGGGGTTAGGGAAAGCCCGTGGCTGCCTCTGAGAAAACAGGCGGGGCCCGGCCCTAGGCGGGGCACGGGTGGCCTGTCCCACAGGGCCTTTGTGGGGTGTTTCCTGGACTGAGGGAGGGGAGCGGCCGGGTGGCCTGCTGGGGAGACTGCGGCTGCTGTCACAGCTGGTGGCCTTCAGCCCAAGGAGGTGGGCTGCAGGCTGTTCCGCGGCCGGACGAGGGACAGAGCAGAACATCCAGCCTGCGCAGAGATGTGCAGGGAAAGGAGGATAACGGAAAATGAGCAAGAGGAGGAGGAGGAGGCGCATGTAGCTGGCATCCAGTCTGAGGGCTGCGTGTGAAAAGGAAAAGCTGGTTTTGGAAGACAGGTTGGGGGGTGGGGGGGGGCAAATGGCTTTCTCAGCCCAGAGCTCAAAGAGCAGCTGTCCCGGGGGAGGGCGAACACTTTGCTGGGCAGCGAGGCCCCACCGCTGCCGACGGCAGAACCTTACACCTAAATGCCAGCTGAACGAGGCTGCGGAGGCTGCCTGGCTGCGGCCCGCCCGAGTCAGGGCTCCAGCCCTGCCCAGCCCTGACTCTGCGGCTGGACAATGAAGGCCGAGAGTGAATGAACAGACAACAGAAACCTAAGAATGCTGGAGCGGCCGCGGCCACCAGCTCTGGAGGGATGGCTGCCTGAGAGCCGGGCGCCTGGGCCTCACCGCCCTGCTCCCTGGGGTGGGTGCATGTCTGAGCGTGCTCTTCAAATCTCACAGCAAGGGGGGTGGAGGCAGGAAAGGTGTGCGAGGCCCTTCTGGGGAGGCTCAAGGGGGAAGAAGAGAGAACGAGGGGGCCCTGAGGCTGGGGGCGGGGCTTCAGTGCAGCCGCCCCAGGGCTATCTGGGGACGGAGGAGCAGCGCTCGGCCCTCCCTGCCTGGGCAGAGGGCCGCACCCCGGTCTGCCTCTCACCGCCCGCCCCAGGTTTCCAGGCTGTGGGCATCCTCTAGCCTGGCTCCTGGGTGGTTCTCTCGGTGCCTGGTATGGTCTGGGCTAAGGGTAGAGTCCTTAGCAGGGGGCTGTGAGCTGGAAGAAGTAGAAGGCACACCACACCTGCTCTCAGGGCCCAGACCCTGACATGGCCATCCTGCCTGTCCCCAGACTGAGGAATAGGACAGTTTCTCCGTATGTCTGTCCCTGGGGCTGGCTGCCCTCACCCTGGGCCTGTGCAGGGAGCTTGGAGGTCCTGAGACTCCTGAGGTGGATGCTGGAGGAGCCCAAGCCCCCCCCTCCTCTGCGTGGGGGCTGGGTGGCCCAGGGAGCCGCAGGTGGCAGCCGGTCGGCCTCACCTTGATGCCTTCGATCCTGAACCCGAGGGTGGCGGTGGAGCTGATGGTCTCCCTCCACTGCATGTACCGCGGCTTGGTCACAGCCCGCTGGGCCTTCTCCTCCTCCGTCGGGGCCTCCGGGTCCACCTCAATCATCTTCAGGTACATGTCCTTCCGGAGGCTGGGCTTCTTCCGGGCCTTGGTGAGCTCCTCTTCCAGGTAGGTCCTGCGTGGGAGGGGAAGCCGTGTGAGGGCCGTGGGCTGGACCGGCCCCCTTCCCTCCACTGCCGGCCCGGGAGGCTCCGCCAGGCTTTCCGGGTGGTCTTGGAATGAAGCTGCTCCCACCCAGCGGGGCCGCCCCTGCTCTCCGCTGGGAGCCAGCCGCGGCCCCAGCCGCGTGTGCGCCCACCCTGGGAGAGCCGGCTGACGGCAGCACCAGTGGGCCAAGGGCAGGGTCCATCCAGGGCCCCGGCTGCCCCCGCCCAGCTGCCTGGGCCCCGTCCACCAAGTGAGCGCTTCTGCAGCCGGCACCTGAGCTGGCAGGGCAGCTCGCTCTGTGCCCGCACCCCAGCCGCCCTCCCCATTCGCAGGCAGCCCGAGGGGCTGAAAGGTCCCTGGCTCTCTCTGGACAGACGGGGCGGGAGGGGGGATCTTGAGTACAAAGGTCAGGCCAGAAGGCGGCCTCTCGAGGGGCCACAGTCTGGAAGGAGAGGCCCACGGCAGGAGGGAGAGCCTGGGGCTCCGTGGCCTCTCTGTTCTACCGAAGACGCGCCCGGCCCATCCTGCCCTGTGGACGCCAGCCTTAGGCCCAGCCCACGCCTCCTCACACCTGAGCCCCCCGCCCGAAAAGCCAGAAGAAATGTGTCCAGCTGAATAGCTCCCTGCCCTGCCCTCCGCACAAGCAGGCTGGGCCCACCGGCTGTCCCCTAGACGCTGGTGGGGTAACAGGCGCAGGGACGGTACGGGACATAAGCAGCCTGAGGCGGAAGCGCTGGCCCTGGTGGCTTCCCCGACCCCGCCACGTGCCCCTCTTCACCCACATGGCCTCCGTCCCTGCTCCATTTTAAACTCCCCTCCTCCCCTGCTGCACGGTGGGCTCAGCTGCCACCTGTGACCCTTCATGAGACAGAAATGAACAGCGTGACTTGCAGGAGAGGGAAGTTTTGTTCCCCCCGCCCTGCGTGGGTGGGAGCTGCCCACAGGCAGCCCGCTGTGACAACAGGCCGGTCCCCACTCACTGCCTGTCCCCAGGGCCTCGCTCCATACTTCCCCCCAATACTTCTACGCTGCTGGTTTGGGACCCAGAACAGGCTGCATGTCAAAATCACGACATCTTTAAAAGATGCCGGTTTCAGAAACCACTGTATTAACTGACAGAAAAAAAAACTCTAAATCCTTGCGTGTGAACTTGGGCCTGGTCCCTAAGGACCTTCCAGGTGATAAGGAACATCGGGAGCCCCGTTGGCCCTTGGCTGGGCGCTTGCACACACCCCCGCGCCCACGCCCACATGCGTGCTCACACTACGGTGGGTGCAGAGCCAAGTCCCTGGGGGCGAGCTTGAGGGCAGGCCCCGCAAGGTAGAGGCAACCCAGGGAGAGGCGCGTGTGGATCTGGGCGCACGTGACCCGGCTGGGCGGGGGGCCGGCCGCCCGGGGCTCCCCGGGGGCTGCAGGGAGCTGGGCAGCCACACTTCTGCAGAGTCTCGGTCGCTCCTTACACAGGAAGCAGGCCTCCCTGTCAAATCGCTCTTCACACAGGGCTTTTCCAGAAAGGGTGCCTGCAGCTCAGTCTGAGCAGAGCTGCCCTGGCTCCGGAGGGGAGAGGGGCTGGGCAGGGATGCCCACAGCAGGCACCAGCGGGACAGCGGGACGGGACCAGCGGGGACAGACCCACGCCGCCCCAGGGAAACCTCCCTGTCCTGTGGTGGTGGGGGTGAGGCTATGCCGTGGGGGGCGTGGGGGGCGTGGGGGGCGGAGAGCCCGCGGGCGGCACACCTGAGCCATCGGCACACCTGAGCCATCGGCATTGTCCAGCGGGGCGGGGGTCCTGGAGACGGTGCCGGCCTCCACCCCCGGGCCGTGGCCTGGGCGTCAGAAGGACACTTCTGACATTTAGCGCCAGGTCACATACCATAGGTTTACAGTGTCGCATCTGAGAAAACTCCCCAGAGTAGTGGGAGCATGTGTCCACGTGGAACCGGGGTCCCACGCCACCTCCAGTTTGGGACACTGCAGTTTCCCACTGTGCCGGACGCTGGGTTTGCCTCTAGGCCCTCCCACCTCTGCTCTGGGGCAAGTCCCCGCTCCACAGGCCCGGGCTTGGTCTGTGGGCTCCCGCCTCCTCCCTCTGCCACGCACAGGCCACCTCTGGGGGTACCTACGGACTGCTGGTCTCAGGAGGGGCCCTGAGGCCAAGGCTCCTGGACAGATGCAGGTGGAAACGTCACAGCCCCGGCTTGGACGCAGGGCCCGCAGCGCCCCTGTGCTAAGTGCAGGGCGAAGCCCAGGCTGGATCTGCGGGTGGGGCCTGAGGCAAATACGGGCTGTGCGGCTTCTGGCCCCGTGGCCCTGACCTCAGGTATCAAAGCTCAGTCGCCGGGAAGCCCTGAGGAGCACCCAGCCCGCACTCGGAGCCCAGAAGGACCCACCTTGAGGCAGGGAGGGTGGAGCTGGCGGGGGCTGGTTCTGGGGAGGCCTATGCCTTCTCTCCACAAGGGCCCCTCCCTCACCCCACTGCTCTGCCTCCCGCCCCTGGCCAGGACGGGCTCAAAGGTCAGCCAGCCTCGCTGGTCCACTCTGGGTCCCTCCTGAGAGCCCTTGGGTGCAGTGGGGCGGATACTGCAGGCGGCAGTGGGGCGGGGCAGCCCTGGGCAGAGGGCAGGCTCCTGTCCCCGGCGGCCTCCCAGGCACAGACAGGTACCCAGTGCAGCCTTTCAGGACTGACCGGCTACGCGTTCTTCCCATAGGGTGTGCTTTTTTCGGCCACGGTCTGAGTGCACACCAACCAGGTTATTTATATGTTCCCCCTTGAGGGCGCATCCTGGTGCACCCGGTGGGGGGGCGGTGCTTCCTGGGACAGAAATAAGACTCTGGGGAAGAGCAGTGGCCAAGTGGTGGCTGGAGGGACGTTCTGTTTCCTCCCTGTGGCCTGGGGCTGGGGCTGGGGAGGGCCCTGGAGGGAGGCAGGGACAGTGTAAGTGCAAATAGTGGGACCTGTACTCCCTGTCCCCTGTCCTTGGGGGCAACGCCAAGGAATTGGGAGTCAGCCTGCAGCGTCAGAATTTAGGACACAGTTCCCAGGAGTAAGGAGAGAAGGCAAATGGTTGGCTTGGCCTCCTGGCTTCTCTCTGCATCTGTCTCTCGCTCTTTCTTCTTCCCCAATTTCCTTTTGTAAGAAATCAGACTGCTTAAACCATCCAAAGCAAACAAGCCCCCGCTCCAAGCTCTGCTTCTGAAGCCTGGCCTGCCGGAGAGGGGCCGGGGAGCCCCGCGTCTGTCTGGCCCTCCGGTCCCGGCACCTGCAGCCAGGCGGTCCTCCCAGGGGAGCACGGCGCGCAGGGCACCACGGGGCTGGCAGCCCCAGAGGGCTCCTCTACGCAGCCCAGCCGGGGAGGGGGCCCCGTGGTGACTCCTGGGATGGAGTGGTCCACGTTCGGGAGGGGTGAGAAAACTGTGCAGCCAAAACAGGGACCCGCGCTGAGGTGGGTGGGGTCTCGGGGCCTCCACTTCCCATCGCCTTGCACCCCGTTTCCCTCCCCTCCTTCCCTCCTGGGTCCTGGCCTGCCTACGTCTCAGGGCAGACACCAGGGAGCCCGGAGTCTGGGGTGGGGTCCCCATTCTACACGCAAGCCCAAGCACCCCTTCCAGCCAATGTGCTTCAATGTGTGCCGAGTGGGGGTCCCCTTCAGCCTCAGTCTCCACTGGGGACCCACCAGTGCATGTGGTCAGGGCCTCTTAAGGTCCTGGGCTCCCTCCTCCATCGCGTTCTTACGCAGGCCAAGTCTTTTCTGGCAAACCGACATGTCCCACTAACCAGCCCTCTCTCTGCTCCCTGGCACAGGGCCAGGGGTGGGGGAATGGGAAGAGCCTTTATTCCAGTCTCCCCCTCGAAGCTCACATAACAGGAAGCCACCTTCTTGTTACCCCAGCAATGCTCGGTGCTGTGTGCCCCCCCCACCCCGGCCGGCTAACAGGATGGGCTGTTTCCTCTGCCCTCTCCCTGGGGACACACAGCACCAAGCCAGGCCCGACCAGCTACTGGCTCCTGCCCCACCCCAGCTCGCTGGAGAAGGGAGGGGGCCACAGGGGGCAAAACCCACGTCCCTGTCCCCTCTGCAAGGAATGCGAGATGGCCAGGGCGGGGATGGGGGTCCAGGAGTCCCCCCAGGTGCCCCGGCCCGCCCTCGCACATGCAAGGCCTCAGGGGCGGCCCGGATGCCGTCCCGGTCTCTGCCGCGTGGCTGAGCGCCGTTCGAGGCAACGGCACCGCGCCGGGGCCTGGCTCACCTGACGCCCATCTTGCAGTCCATCACGCACGGCGAGTCGAAGTCAGCCAGCAGGTCGTCCATCTGGTTGTAGCGCTCGCCGTCCTTCACCACGTCGCCGTGGTAGGCCGGCACGTAGGGCCTCAGCACGTCGGCCATCAGCCGGTCCAGGCAGCGCTGCTCCGACTCGCAGTGCTTCTTCAGGATCCGGCCGTTGGCCGCCGCCTTGAAACTCCCTGCAAAGCAAGGGGCGGGAGGCCCTTGGTCCTCAGCCGAGGCCCTCCCCACGCCGACCTCCCCACCGGGGACAGCCCCCTGGTGACAGTGCCCGGGCCCCTCGGGGATGCTGCGGGCTTGCTAAGCACAGGGCTGAAGGGGGGCCCAGGTCTCCACTGTGGACCATGCGCTTTAACGAGTGGGTGCAAGTTCTAGCCCCCCACACACTGCCTGCGACGCCGAGGCGGCCCCCCAACCTCCCTGACCCCGGCCCCTCCTCTGGAGATGGAGGAGCACCAGGCCCGCTGCCGGGGGCTGAGCAGGGCTCAGTGAGCGCCTGTGCGAAGACGGGCTCACCCTCTGTGTTACCATTACCACCCCCGCCCGCCTGCATCCTCAGTCCTGCTTCTCGGGCAACAAAGGTGTCTGGTCTCAGGAGAGGCCCCAAGCGGCCCTGGCTCAGGGCCAGGACAGGGAGACTGGCTGAGACACGGGGGTCCCAGACTCGACCCCCCTGGCCACGCTCCTTGTGAGCCATGCCCCTTGTGAGCCACGCCCTCAGGTAAGTGTTTAGGAAGCGTGTCCTTCCACGTCCCTTGGGCTGGGCCAGCGTGGATGGGGATGTAAAAGAAATGTTGGACCCTGTGCTGGCCCGCAGTGGCAAAGGCCAAGTCCATGGGCAGCCGCTGGAATGGCCCTCGGGGACAATGCGCACCGAAGGGCACCTGCATGTGTGCGCTGGGGCTAGACAGCTCTGGGGCTTTGGCTCCAGGGGCCCCGCCTCCCCCGTCACTAAGGGAGCTAGAGGCCCCATGGCTGGCCTGGCGCCCTGGGACCGGCACCCGGCACTCCACCCTGCCTCCCACCTACGAGCCACTTTGGGGCGGATACTACGTTTTCATTAATGTTGTGAGCCCTGGCGATGGGGGTATACAGTAGATGCTCAGTGAAGGAGTTAACGTTGCCTCTTTGTCCAGGATGACAAATGGCTTTCAAGCTCTAAGATCTACGACTTCATCTGTTTTATTGAGTTAAACTAGAAGAGGCAGAGAAAGAGAGGGAAAGAGAGTGACGGGGGGGGGGGGCGCTGTGTGTTTTAGGGAAGAGCTGGCAGTTATCTGTGTGCATTTTCAAGGCAGCATTAGGGCCGCATTTCAAAAGAAGGGCTGCGATTGTCATTGTCAATTCTCGGAGAGAGCTCGTTCTGGGCACTTTCGTCACCAAGGGTCTCCAGAGCCAGGTCGGCCCTCCGCCACCCCCACCAACTCCCCAGAGAGCCAAATGTCCCCACGGTAAGCCCCGGAGGGCCGCGCTACCTGCGTGTCCTGCCAGCTGGATCCAGGGGTACTTCTTCTTGAAGGACATGACAAAGGGAGACCAGTGCACCATGTTTTTTATTTTCCTCCATGATTTGCTCTAGAAATAAGTAAACAGAAAGTTCTACGTTAGAAAGAGAGCTGCTTTCTGGTTAAGGTGAATTCAAAGCAGGGCGACGCGCTGCCGCGGCTGCAGGAGGGGCCACACCCACGCGCAGGTGCCTGGCGTGGGGCCTCACCTCTGCAGAGGGTCTTTGCAAAGGCTGAGCACAGCGTCCAGAAGCAACGGGGTCTTTGGGGATGAGGGTCTCACAGGTTTCGGGGGGCGGGGGGAGTGTTCTCAATGAGGGGCTGGCCCAGTCCCACGCCACCCTGTCTGGGAACAACCAAACCCACACCGCCCTGCTTTATGCCCCTTCCCGGGGACTCGGTTTCTTCATCTCTCCGGTGAGGGGTGGACGGCTGGTCCACTGGGCTCCTTGGGCGGACAGACACCCTAGGACCCTGAAAATGACCTCCCACACCCCAACAGCCACGGCTCCTCAGAAGAAGACGAGGGCTGCTGCACCAGGCTGCAACGTGTCGTTTCACATTTTATTTGTAGACGCGGAACAACAGAGGCACCTCCTGCCTGCGAGTGGTTAGAAGAGCATTTTTAAAGGGAGCTCCCCAGGGACAGCACCTCCCGCCCTCCCCATGGGCACACGGGGTGGGCAGGCCGGCAGGTCTCTCTGTTTCACTGCACTTCTCCTTCTGGGGGCGGGGGCGGGACGGGGGGTGTGTGTGTGTGTCCGTCCATCCTTAGGCAGAAAGGAGAACATTCACTGAGCACCTTCTTTTCCCAAGAAGCATGCAAGGCAGTTGGGGTCATTTATACAACCCGAGCTTCAGAGAAGCAAGCAATAAAATGCATTTACACCCTCACTTATACGACTGTTTTTTTAAAAAACCCCTTTTTGCCCGCTAGCATGGCTCAGTTTGTTGGGTGTCGTCCCATAAACTGAAAGGTCACGGGTTCGATCCCCAGTCAGGAAGTGTGCAAAAGGCAAGCGATCAATATTTCTCTCACATCGATGATTCTCTCCCTTTCTCTCTCCCTCCCTTCCCCTCTCTCTAGAGTCAATAAAAGAAAAAAAATTTTTTAAATCCCTCTTTCCCTCAGCAATAAACTTTGCTCTAGAAAAAACACCCTGAAGTTAACTTTAATCAAAACAGGCTATAGAGATGAAGTTTAAGCACCACCCCCAAAAGATTAAGTGTCCCCAAACACATGAGCCCCTGACGGGGGTGAGGAGAACCTGAACCGAGGAAGATGTGGAATTTCTGATAAAGTGGATCCCTGACCACCAACCCGAGTCAAAGCGGCGAGGCCCCGTGCCAGCAGGAAGGGGAATCCTGCGGAGGTCGTGAGGAGGTCCTGCTTTGACAGGGGACCCTACAGATGCCCCCTCACTCCCTGTCCCACCGGGGGTCAGCAGCTGCCCTGAGGGGCCTGGACAGACTCGGCTGTGGGGGCTGCGGAGCCTAAGGCTGTGTCAAGGTTAAATGAGCCTCCTTTGTTTTTTCTCTGCGGCGCCTCATCATGCCTGTCAACAAGTCTGCAAGTCCAATTCTGTTTGAAGGAAGAATTCTTCCGTCCTGAACCCAGCGATTTTTATCCCCATCCCAGAAGCCCTTGTCCTACTGCCATGACCTGGTCTATCTGAAGCGAGGGCCCCGCTGCGAGGGCATGTGACAGAAGGGCCGGGCCTTTACTGACATGGGTGTTTTTCCTAGATCCTTCTGGTGGCGATCACCAGAGAAGGCTAAGGAAGTCGAGGTATTTCTCATCCAAGCGCCCAGAAGGCTGCATAAACAATCAGGGCAGACAATGCGGAGGCAACAATGGAAAAACCTGATCACATGAGATGAGCCTGGCAGCGCTGGTGGAAGGCGAGGGGGAGACAGCGAGGTAGGTCCAGAGGCAAAGTGCGCAGCTGGCCACTACCTGCCGGTCACGTACGGGCAGCAGCGGATGAGGGTCTCGCGGGTCCAGGGCTGGGGTGGGGGCAGGGCAGAGTGCTTTCAGTGCAGGGCTGACCTCACCCCACACCACCCCGTCGGGGAAGAGCCACACCCACTGTGCCTTTCTTCATGCCTCAGTTTCCTCACCTGTCTAGAGAGGGATGGACAGCTGGTCCACCAGGCTCCTTGGACTGGTTGGTAGACACTCGAGGACTCTGGACAATAACCTCCCACATCCCCACAGCCGTGGCCACTCAGAGGAAGATTAGAGAGGGCCCCCTGTCCCCCGCTGCCGTGTGTCATTTCACATTTCACTTGTAGACACGGTGGCAGCAGAGGAGCCGAGAAGATGTGTCCCAGGGCCAGGGAGGGGCCCAGCCAAGACAGACAGATGGGAAGGAAGGCCCTGAGGCTGCACTCAATGTTGGGGAAAGACTTGGGAGAAGAGAGAAGACATTACTGGCACGTGGCGGGAGAGGAACTATTGGGGACAGAGGGCTGGGACAGGGATTTGGGGCAGTTGGGACCAGATCTGCTGAGGAGGGGAGCTGGGAGCAATGGGAGATGAGGCTGAGCAGGTGAGTGCAGTGCGCAGGCAGCGGGCCCGCCTGGGCCTGAGTCCGGAGTCCATCCGCTCCCACCGACTGCCCTCGCGCACCCCCTGACCCTCCGCGAGGCACTATCCTCTTACCAGGAAAATGGGACTAACACAGGTTCCCCCGAGAGCAGGAGGCAAAGCCCTCAGCAGACCCTGGGGTGTCTGTGGAAGAGTCTTAACTCTGTGATCAGGGAAGAGGGGTCTCTAAGGCTATCCCGGGGGCTGCCAGCCTGTGGCTGGGCAGCGGGGCCTCTGCAGTTACTGGAAGAAAGACCATGGTGCCCTGGGCTGGGCCAGGCCCACCCTGTCGGCATGCAGCTCTCCAGAGACCTGTGGGGACACACTGAGCCTATAACCTGCAACCCCGGGAGGCAGGAGAGAAAGGAGCTGCGTGAGAACAGGAAGGCTGCAGCCCAGCACGGGCACGGGCAGCCACAAAGCCACTGGATGCCGGACGCTCTTCAGAGACTAAAGGCCGGGGTCCAGCAAGGACAGAGGTGCTGGGGGGCCCTCTGATAGTTCACGGGACCCAAGACCCTCCCTTCATCACTGAGCTTGGAGTAAACAGGCATTTTCTGCTTAGCGTGCCCTTTCCCCACCTCCTCCACATGGAAGTATTTCTGCAACATGCAAAGGGGCCCCACATGGCCGAGGCCACGACAGCCTCTGTCCCATGGCCGCCCTGCGCAGTGCAGGGCGATGGAATATTCCCCTGGGGAGGTGGGCTTGCACCAGGGGACTTCGCTGCTGGCAGCGGCAGCACGCAGGGGTTTTTCCCATGGGCTTTAAATAGCGGCGCCCAGGCAGTGCCTCATGGCCGCCGAACATTGCAGGAGAGGCGCTGCCAGGGCCAGGCCTGCGGAAGGAGCCGGCGGGGCGTCGCCCTCGCCCCGTGTCCAGTCCATGGCAGCAGAGACGCGTGAGAGGAGGCCCTGCCCCCGCTGCCGTGTGTCATTTTGCATTTCATTTGTAGACACAGTGGCAGCAGAGGATCCGAGAAGTGTCCCAGGGCCAGGGAGGGTGACTTGGTTTCAGATGATCAGTTCCTTTCTGATGGCCCTGTTCAGGCAACAAACCTGCTCCAGGTGGAAGCTGCTTTCTAGGTGGCGGGCGCGGGCTGGTCGGGCCAACAGTCTCTCTCCAAGACCCTCGCTGGGGGAAGCCACGGTCCTCGGAAATGGATGCGCCCCCACTCCCCACCAGCCAGGACAGGTGACGAGGGTAGCCCAACAACCTGGAGGAACCCCATGTGAAGAATTGATCCCTCTCAGCTCTGGCTTTCTAACACCCTCCCCAGGAGGCTCTCAAGGGCCTCGATCGCTTCTGTGAAACAGGATCACTATCTCAGGTCTCCAGCTTTTCAAGCTGAACTTTGAGAAACATGAGAGCAGCCCTTGGGTGCCTTGAACGTGGCGAAGCTGGCCGCCTGGCTCCCTCCCCTGGGGCAGCGCTGGCCCCTACGGATGGCACTGGCCCTGTTCCTTCGTCGTCCCCATCACCAGGGGCACCTGGCCCCCTCTGCTAACCCTTCTCGGAATGTCCCCAAGGCTCCCTATGTCTGACAGGTCCGTGCGGGCATCTTGCTGGAAGCTGGGGCGGGGGCTCATTTTCCCAGAGGCGAAGCATGGCTGCCGGCCCGCCTGCCGGCCCGAGCCTGGTGTTTGTGTTCAGGACTCTTATCGCTTCTGGAACTCTTACTACGTCACAGGCGCGGGCCCGGGGGCCCCGTATGGCCTTGCTGCTGATCTTCACAACCACCTGATAAGGAGAAGTATCTTCTCAGTAAGAGGAGGACTCCAAGGCCCAGCAAGTTTTGCTGCTTCCCCAAAGTCATTCTGTTCTCCGCCCTTGCCAGTAGGCGGAGGCTCACACGGGGAGTCTCAAACCAATTCGCCAATTGCCTAACCTATTGGCAAGCAAGGGCACCCATCTGTGAGGGCTCCTTGCCTTTGGGGAAGCTCCACAGCTGACCAGTCATGACCCCAGGTACGCCCGTGCTGGGGCCGGGCGAGAGCTGCTTTCAGCTTACTTCCCAGGTAACATGCGGTTCTCCCACGGGTCAGAACAGGCCAGTGAAAAAAACGCTTCTAGACTCTGTGGGAATTCTGCTCTTGGGATGTTCTTGAGAGCACGTCAAAGGAAAGCAAAGCGCCGCCAAGCTGATTACCTGCCAAGCATGCAAGGGGCCTCAGGGTGGGCCAGAGACGCATGGTGTTCACCTTGATTCTGTGCCAGGTGGTTAAGCCCACTGGAGACCAGAGTGAAGGTTTTTGGGGGTAGCACCTCAGGTTTATAGGCTTGGAGGAAACCCAGCTACACAAATCCCGAGGTGGTGGCGCTTTTGGGTCAATAAGCGCTAGTTTTGGCTTTGCTTTAACTTCTACCCGAGTGCAGCACAGTGATTTCTACTGATGTCTGGGAGCATCCTGACCTCATCCTATAAGAGGTACGGGGTCTCCTGCGATCCTCGGGCTGCCCAGCTCGCTCCGAGTGCTTTG